AAAATTTTGATATACTTCCTTGCCTTTGAACAAAACAATTTTTTTTGCCTTGATTAATGTGGAAGTAAAAATTTAGTACTGAGAGTTAGGCATGGTGGAGTATGCCTAAATCCTAGCTCTCAGAAGGGTGAGGCAGAAAGATTGTAAGTTCAAGGCTAGCCTGAACTATTTAGTGAGACCCTGTATCCAAAACAAACAAACAAACAAACAAATAATGAGAAACAAAACAAAACAAACAAAAAAAGAACTTGGGACAGGAAATAAAGCTCAATGATAAGAGTGCATGTTTAGTATGCCTGCAGTCCTGCATTCAACACCTAGCACCAAACAAGCTGTGACGATAGCGACTCAGGTAAAATGCAATTGGATGCTTGAGTGTTGCCTGGGCAAGTGTTACTTCAACAGTGGATCCTTGAATAAATTTAATAAAATTGTTCTCTTTATATTTCCTGTTATATTACCTTATAAAACAAACATATGCAATTTTTGGTCATCCTATATTTAATTAGACAGGTAAGTGCTTAAAATAGGTTCTCACCCAGCACCTCGATTATCTGAGTTGCTCTTTTTTGAACTTTTTCCGTGTGTTTCATGAGGTAAACCCAGTTAGAAATACATACAAAAACTCAAAGTAAATGTTTTGGTGTGAGAATTTATTTTCTGTTTTTTAGGCTACTAGAATTTTTATAGCAATACACTTGGCTGAGATTTTGGGGACAAAATCTTATAGTCTATGACTATGCCTAAATTCACATTCTTCACAGGTTGAAAGCCAGTATTCCACCATCTGCCTTCCTAAAGTTGTACACTAGATTCCTTTTCCTTAAATGGAATAGAGGAAAAAGGACTCAACTGGCCTACACATAGCCACTTCACCAGATTAACCGAGACTGCCTATTCCCCGTACAGTTTAATGATAGACGCAAATGGAAAGCCATGCATGTGGAGCTGTCGGCCAATCTCAGGCAAGCTCGCAGCTGAGCCTAGTATTTGTTGTAACTCTTGTATATTTGCAAACCAATTATGATTCCTGTACTACTTATAATAACTAGTTTACTTAAACAATTTTGTGAAGTAATAGGGTTTTCTGGAAACATCAAGAAAGCTGGAGGCAGATGATAACTAGCTGGGGGTTACTGGGGCATTGTTCTTTTTTGGTCTGGTGAGGACATAGATTCAACAATATGAGTCTGTTTTTTATAGATCAGCAGAGCCTGAAACAAAGGTAGTAAGCAAAGCCCCATTAGAAACTGCGCAGCATCCAAGAAATTGCACTGAGGTTCTGTTTTATCAACTGTTAACTGTGAGAGAACTCTCTCTGATTGGTCTCTTTCTTTCTATCTGCAGCCTAGTCTGAAGTAATGCAACTCCTATTCCACTGACAAGTCTAAAGAGAGCTGTTTCTATTAAAAATGAGTTGAATGCTTTAGAGCTGTATGATAAAGGCAAACTGCTAAAAATTTTGCTTCTAGGTAGGATAAAAAGCAAAAGTTAGAACAATCAGAGATTTAGGAGTTCTACATTCACATTGCTTTACAAATAGCTACATATTTTCTGTACTTTAAAGAAAATGAAAACAGAATCTGCAGATGATACATTTTGGGTATACTTAATTTTAATTAGTCTTTCTAATTCAAAGCAAAAATCTTATTTCTACAATAGATAGGATTTTTAAGTTAATTAAAACGTTTGTTATATAGATGTTTTTTTCCAAATCCATTTTATTCATAGGTGAAAAAGAGAAAGAAAGGAAAGAAAGAGAGAGAAAGAAAGAAGGAAGGACGGAAGGAAGGAAGGAAGGAAGGAAGGAAGGAAGGAAGGAAGGAAGGAAGGAAGGACAAGCAGCAGCAGTCACAGCCGCCGCTGCTGCGAGTTTAAAGTACTTATCAGTCAGGAGGTAACAATAGTACATACGTTGTGCACTGTCATCCCCAAATCACGCACCCAGAGCACAAGCAGATGTCTTTATTTTTTAGAATGACTTTTTTTTTTTACTTTAAAGAGATTAAGACAAAATAGGACATAACAAAGCAGATCAGAACAGAACAACGTAAACAACACAGAATTTCACTAGAAGACAACTCATACTTAACAGTAACTATAATGTCTCTTCCTTTGAAATAGTTGAGTATAACTTCATATATGATAGTATCAAACATAACAACATAGTATAAAACCATTCAAGAGAATGAGAGTATTATAGGGCATTTAGAACCAAATAACAGAAAACAAACAATGGCTACTATCTCATTTTCCATAGAAAATTTGTTTATACTTTCACACGTAATATAATCCAATAAGGTACAACATGATAGAGCCAATGGAAACAGAAGAGCAAAAGCACGGTAGGACTTCAGAGTAAGATGATATTATAATGGCTATTATAATGACTTGTTTCCCTTAAATTAGTTGTTCATACCATCACAGTTAATAAAATCAAACAAACAAGGACAAACCCATTACAACTAACCAATGTGATCATTATAAGGTTTCAAAACAATGTAATGGGGAATGATTACCATAAACTCTTATGCAGTCTTACTATTTCTTACACTAGGGAGACTATACGGTATTTATATCTGTGAGTTTGATTTATTTCACTTATGTTGCACCCATTTGTTAGTAAATATCTCAATGTGATCATTCTTTATAGCTGAGTAGTATTCCATTGTATAAAAACTTTTTTATCCATTCCTCAGTTGATGGACACTTAGGTTGTTTCCAAGATCTGGCTATTACAAATTCTGCTTCTATAAACATGGGTGCACATATATCACTGTGGTATGATATTTTCAGTTCTTCTGGGAATATGCCTAGAAATGGAATAGCTGGGTCGAATGGGACCTCCAATTCCAGCTTTTTGAGGAATCTCCAGACTAACTTCCACAGTGGTTGCACCAATCTACACCCCCACCAGAATGACTCCTTTTAAAATCAAGTAAACAGCCACCAATCCCGATCACATCAGATAAGAAAACACTGTGAGAATGTAATCTGCTACCTTACTGCCATTCGGCGGATTTTGTGCCCTTTCCCCGTTTCCCCATGGTAGGCTTACATGTCCTCTTCAAGATACCCAGATAATTTCTAAAGATCTTAAGCATTATAAACCTAAGCTTTAATGAGTCCTGCTATTTTATGACTTTATTCCCTACTTAAGACCCTTTTTGCCCTGTTTCTAGTCTTTGAGATAATTTATACACAGGGCAACATATTTTAGTAGCCATATTTGCAAAGCTTGTGGTATGGATCTTTGTCAAAGGGATTATCTAAGTCACAATGTATGCTAGTGCTCCCAGTACTCCAGAAAATTCTGCCTTTTTTTTTTTTTTTTGGCAGTTGATTCCTTTCTTTCCTGGCCCCATGGAACCAATGATCTGCTTTCCCAACTATCTGCATTCTTTTAATGCAGTATGGTCCCTTTTCTAGAATTTTATATGAATGGACCCATACTTTTTGTTTAGTGCCCTCATCCTGTTGTGCTCATCAGCAGTATGTTCCTTAATGCTGAGTAGTGTTCTATTATATGGCTATAATTTTTATAGTCATTTATTGATGAACATTAGAGTACTATGACTAAAGCTGCTGTGAATATTCATATTAACTCACGTTCTGTAAGAATATGGTTTTTTCTGGGCTAAATATTTAGGGATGGAATTGGTAGGTTATATGCTAAGTATGTACTTAACTTTAAAAGAAGTTGCCAATTTTGTTTTCCACCATTGTCAACCAACAATGTAAGAAGAAGTCATTTGCTTTATATCTCAAAGCCCCTTACAAAAAGTCATACATAGGTCAAGTATGTACTCAATTTGTCATTTATGTAGTACTAATTAATCAGCGATAGCTACTATGCATTGTACTGTGTTAGATAGAGCTTTCTTTTCTCCACACTAGATGAAGCTTTTTAAATTCTAACTGGCTATTTAGTTTGGATCTTCAACATCCTGGAAAGCTTGTGTGTTGGAAGGTTGGTCCTCAACTGGTGGTGCTACTGGGAAGTGGCAGTCACTGGGGACGTGGCCTTGACGGGTATCTTGCCCTGGCCCCCCCTCTTTCTCTGCTCCATAGTCACCAGGAGATGAGCGGTTCTGCTGCACACACCCCCCGCCCCCAATGACGTGCTGCTTTTACCACAGGCCCTAAACCCATTGGAGCCAAGTGACTACGGACAAACGCGTGAACCCTTGGGACATAATCCTCGTAAGTTGATTTTTCCACAGATTCTGTCACGGCCATGGCATACTCACACATCTGCACATACCCAACAATTTGGACTGAGGTATTTTCTCATATTACTACTTTTACTTGTTTTTTGTTTGTTTTTGTTTTTTTGACGCAGGGTCTCGCTATGCCATCACTCAGGCTGGCCTTGAGCTCACTTTGTAGCCCAGGCTGGTGTCAAACTTGCAATGATTCTGCCTCAGCGTCCCGAATGCTGGGATTCCATGCATATGCCACCATGCCTGGCTACTACTCACTTTTAAAAAAACAGAATGGAATTTATTTGTTGGTATTATAGAGTTATGCCTTAAAAATATCATTTAACATATTTCCAGCTTTTCATACATAAACTTTAGCAAATTTCTTGAAAATGTACATTATCTTGTGTCTTCTCTGTTTTTTTTCTCTATTCCTCATGAAGACTTAAATTTCTATTATTCTTTGGGGGAGTAAAAAAATTTTAAACACATATTTAACATATATTCTTTGAAAGTACATATTTTATGATGCTTTTTTAATTTATTGTATAATTTACTAAAACCACAAAAATAAAACCTTATAAATGTAGATGCTTAAATGTGTCCCTCTTTTCAGAAGCTTGTACTCTTGATATTTGGTTCACTTACCTAGTATCTTGAAGACTGTATTACAGAAATAATATTTTTGAATGTACAGTGATTTCTTGACATTTCACATGGAAACAGGGATCATATTCTTAATTTTTATGGAAACATGTTTTATGATAACCCTAAAATGACTAGCATCTATCTACTTACCTTAAAAAACTCCTTTTTCTCAATCATCTCATTGCCATCCGTGTCCAACATTTTAAAAGCCACATGAAACCCAGTATGGGGTTCTGCAATAAAGTGAGAAATGAATAATCATTCAAATGCTAGTGAAGCACAAATTATCTGCAGATAGACACATCTTCAGATTAGAAATAAATCACTGGAAGCTATCAGCAAGTGCTTAAACAGAGAAAACAGTGATCCCGCCAAACATTTTCAGAGGTGTTAAGGCTTTGCCCAGCCTTCTCAGCTTTTCCACAGGAACTGTTGTACAAAGCTCAGCTTTTCAATGCAAATTAATTTGAGAAATTATTTCTATAACTCTGTATATTGTGCAGTATCTTGGTTATTTCTGCTTTCTTCAAGTGGTATTTTTTATATTTAATTTTGTCATCATTGTAGATGTACAGATATGTTACAGTACAGAATCCCCACGTAATTTTCACCCGGCTTTCTCTCATGTTAACATTTTACATACTCACAGGAGTAAGATTTTTTACATACTCACTGCTGTAAGATTAAGAACTAAACTACAGCCTCTACTTGGATTTCATATTTTTTTTCACTAAGGCTGTTTTTCTATGATCCAATACAAGACATCATGCTGCATTTGGGTGTCATGTCTCTGTGGTCTCCTCCATCTATGGACGTTTCTCAGTCCTTCTTCATTTTCATGATCTTAACATGTCTGAAGCATGCTGGTCAAAGATTCTGTATGATTTTGTATAGTGTCAGCTGCCCCTCTGTACGTGTTGGTAAGTGTGAGTGCCTGTGGAGAAGCGGTGCATCTCTGTGTGCATGCGTACACACCTACAAAGGCTGCTGTTTTGTTCTGTTGAACAGATTTCTATTCGGGAAATGGTGCCAGGGTGTGTGGGAGGCAGGAGAGACCTAAGAGGGTGATTGAATCCCACACTGACATTTCACAGATAAGCAACTGAGAGGTCAATTTGTCTTTTTTAAATGATAAATGGAGAATTCCATGTGACTGCTATGACAACTGTGGGATACTTACTAGTAAGGATTGTAAGCAAGAAAAGATACTCAGTATATGAAATCAGCCCTGAAAGACAAAATAAAAACTTATCAGGAAATAAATTTTAGATCGTTTAGGAATAATCACGTAAAGATATTAATGTTGAAACTTCACCTACGTATAAAACCACAGTTTTACTTCACATTACTCTTTTATTCCTCAGTAACTGATGCAGGGATAGGCAGGTACCTTGGGCTCAAGCTAGCAAGTAGGTTCCCTTTTCCTGGCAGTAAGGACGACTTCAGGGATGGGCCACAACCTGGTGGTCTAGTTGGTGGTACTGTAGAACTTCTGTTGAGAAAGCTGGATCATTTATTTGAGGGGAGGGGACTTTGATAACTTGAGAATGTTACACTCAGGAACAGGAGGCCGTGGAGACTGCTTGGGAATGCCACAGGTTAGCATTTAGACCCTGATAATGGAGTAGTTTCTTTTGGTAGGCCTAAAAAATGGATCCTGGTGATGTTTGTGTCCTGGCTTAGCCGGGTTTAGAGGTAAGTGAAGCTGAATGCCATGTGGTCATAAATGAGCTCATGGTTCTCCCCCACTCGCTCAGGATTGAAGGTGATCGTCTCCTACCATCAAGAGGTTTTAGTGAAGATCTATCTGCAGAGAAGGAAAAGAAAAAGACAGAGGGATCCCTCACTTCAAATGAGATTGGGGAGATGTGTAATTCTGTAGATAAGCACTATCTGATTAAGGTTATAGCAGGGTGAGTAATGAATTTGTTTAATGATTGTCAGTATCACATTTCCATGAAATCCTCAGGAGGTAAAAGTGTCACTGAATAGGCTCCTTGTTAAAGCTGCACAAAAAGAAAAAGATTCCACTGAGCCAGTAGACAGCAGTGATTCTGATAGTGACAGTGGAAGCCGTCCACACAGAAACCCTCCTTTGTCATCTCCCTCACTGCAGCCATGGAGGTTTTCAAGGTATGTGCATGTTAATTTATTTTTCTTTATTACTTTGTATTATATTAGAGTCTTTTTTTTTTTTTTTTTTTGGTACTAGGGATCGAACTCACGACCTCGCACTTACCAGGCAAGTGCTTGAGCCACTGAACTAAATCCCTGGCCCTGTAATCATTTTTTGAATGAATATTTTTGGGTTGTGGGAGAAATCATCTGAGTTTTCACGATTTTTTTTTTTTTTTGATACCGGGAATAGATTCAGGATCTTGTGCCTGCGAGGCAGGTGCTGTGCTGCAGAGTGATATGCCAGGCCCTCTGTTATTTCTTTAATTTTTTTAAAGCTTAAATTTTTATTTCATGATTTTTGTCACCTCAATATAAAATTGAATAAACAACAGACAATGTGGAATTATGAAGGATGAAAATGAAAAATATTTGATCCATTTACCAAAAAAACAGGTCACACAAAGATAAGTATTTATATTAAAAAATTGTGTTGATCAAAATACAGTAAAATAAGTATTGGCCCAAACTTTGGATGACAGTGTAAATTAAGTTTATTGTCTCTGACCCACCATTTCACCTTTATGAATGTATGTTAAGGAAGTTTTACGATTATACAATGACATTTTTAAGACAGTTACAATACTGGAAAACTGGGGAAAATTAAGGTCTCAATGATTACTATTTTAAATTCACATCCTATAGGATTATATTACCATTTAAAAACATGATCTAAAAATACTTAAGACAAGAATTAATAATTTTGTTTCTTAGCATCATGATTAATCATATTTCTTTAAATTCTTTTATAATTTGCAATTTTTCTATAATCATGTATACTTTGATAATATCTTTAAAAATAGATTTGAAAAATATATATTTTAGAAAGAAATGACCTACTGTGTCTAGTAAAGAAAGGTATGTTTAAAATGTTTTAAAAATCTACAAAAATGAAGCTCTACCAAGAAATTATATATCAAATAATTCTTGCCTTTAGAATGGGGTTTTCTAAATTTCTGTGTTGCCATTAGCTGTTGTTCAGTATCATTAGAAAAAAACATTTGAACCTCATCTTTGGCAGCAGCTTCTTCCTCGGGAATGGATTTGGGGACACCCAGGTTTTGGACAGAACTTTCCAGAACAGAGCCGTCATTTCCGGGCAAGAAAGCAATAAAGCGTTCTTCCATTTTATGTTTTCGAAGTTGTATGTCTTTTTCTTTCCTTCTGTGCATCTCTTGAGGACTTAAGGCTTTATTCCATAATTACCTTTTCCTAGACTTGTCATGGTAGTCACTCTTAGGGTCTTGTCAGGCTAGAGCTTGGGGAAAGAGCATGCCTGTCCTGTGCACTACCCTAGCTCACTCCCCAAGATGGAGTTTACATTACTTTTCAGGGGAACGTCTGCTTTATACACAAGTGCTTTGGGTTACAAGCGTGTTTCCAGAACGAACTATGCTTGCAAACTAAGATTTTACTGTATATGATTTGAACATATTCTTCCATTGGGTGTATTACCTTACCTTTTCATGCTCTTGACCATGTTCACCAATTCACAAACGTTCTTTTCTTTCCTTTCTTTTTTATGGTGCTGGGGATTGAACCCAGGGCCTCATGCGTAAAGGCAAGTCCTCTACCTCTGACCTACATGTTCAGCCCATACAAGTTCTTAGCACTGATCTGTGTCTTTTTTAGTTTGTTTCTTTTGCTTAAATTTCTTTTAAATTATAGCTTCTTCCCTGTCTTTCCTCTCTTCCTTTCAACCTAATGAAGCCAATCTCTTTTCTACAAAATTTCTAACAGTCAAAACTTTCGATGACTACTTCCTTGATATTCTTTTGCACATTCTTCTAACTTCTGTATTTTCTATAAATTGGTGTTCAGATTCAGAGATGTGCTAAGATTTAAGAATTCTTTATAGACGTTTTATACTTACTGGGGCCAAAACACAGGTGTGTATAGACTGCCATATAATCCTCAAGAGTTACACTACAGGACAGTGTGAAATCATTTCCAGAGTTTATATTATCACAGGCGTCAAAGAGGAAGTAATTCTAAAGGCAGTCTATGCATAATGAATAAAAATTAAAAAAAATACTTGAGACACGATCTGTGCTGCCCCGGCTGATCCTCTTGCCTCAGCCTTCAGTGTATCTGGAACTACAAGCATGTCTCTCTGTGTCTGGCTTAACGACGAAGGTGGACTAAGCAGGTACAGTTAAAGTGGGAGAGCCGTGTAAGATAAAGGAAGCTGGACATGAAAACTGAATGTGGACTGTCTAAAATCACATTCACCTGGAAGCAGCAGCAGGCAGGGAAGCCACCATGGAGTCAGACGATAGGGTGAGGTGGTGGGAACATGCGTGCCTTGCTGCGAGTGAGGGTCGCTCCCTGATGCTCTGCTTCCAGTTGACAAGGCAGGACTCAGGGCCTAGCGTGGCCCACAGGAAGGCAAAAAGGTTTTATACCTACACAGATCCATGTGTTAGCTGTGAGGAACTACAGGTATACATTTTAAATGGGTCACTTTTTTTTAACATTACCATCTTTTTGCTGTTTTTATTTAGAGCAGGTATACTTCCCTTTAATAGTAAAAAAGTCTACATTAAGTCTTCAGATTCTTTTATCTTACAACTATGCAGTGTTTATACAAAAGGAGAATAAATTAAATGTGTTTTGTCATATCGTGTACCTGCGGAAAATGCTCTAATGTTAGCTGAGGGATCAAAGTAGTTTACTCTCTGACAGCCTCAAAGAGTAGAGAACAGCATTTCTTAAGTTTTCAAGTGAAGATAGCAATGTGGAGGAAAAAAATGGCCAACTGGCTAGATTATAATGGGCTTGGTGCCAAGAGAGACCTCACTTTTATTTAAACATAGGTAAATGTCCTTTACGTAAGGAGAACTTTTGAAAAGGAAAATTCCAGTGTCTTTCTTTGAAATACTGACTTAAGTAAAAGGTTGAATAAACACAGAGTTGAGACAGTGTAAAAATAGCTCCTTCCATTTTCAAGATAGATTGTAAATAAACAGTATAGTTCTACAACAGCATTTTAGGAATCTGCCCTCTGAAAATGCTTTTAAAGAAAACTGATACTTTAGAATACTCACAGGTGAAGCAGTTTCATACATACATTACACTTGATTGTAAAATGAATGCTATTAAATGGCAGTGTTTCAAAAAAATTTAAAAGTTTAGTGAAAAGCAACTATACTTCCATTTCATGGTGATAAATGAAAACAAAATACACTGGTTACAAGAGTATTAATATATAAAATGGTGATAAAGCTCATCACAAAATTTTTAAGACCTATATACAGCTAAAGGAATATAAGATATTACATAAATGTATATAAATTCTGGAGCCAGGCATGGTGGCACATGCCTGTTATCCCAGCACTCGGGAGGCTGAGGCAGGAGGATTGCTGTGAGTCCGAGACCAGGCTGGGCTACAAAACAAGTTCAAGACCGTCTTGAACTGCATAGTTAGACCCTATCTCAAAAAGACCAAAAAAGAAAAGAAAAAAAAAAAAGGAAAGAAGATACTCAAACCCACATAATTAGCAATGAAAAGGGTAAAATCACAACAAGTAATTATAAACGCTGGAAGGACTGTGGGAAAAAAAGAATCCTTCTCCACTGCTCATGGGAATGCAGACTGGTGCAACCAGTGTGGAAATCTATATGGAGATGTCTCAAAAAACTAGGACTAGAAGTCCCATTCAATCCTGTGTCTTCGGAAAAGAATTAAAAACATCATACCACAGCGATGCATGTGTACCCATGTTTATAGCAGCACAGTTTGTAATAGCCAGCTCTTAGAAACAACCTAAATGCCCGACTGAGGAACAGATTATAAAAAGCTGTGGTACTTTTATACAATGGGGTACTACTTAGCCATAAAAAAAGATAAATTGGAGACTTTTATAGGTAAATGGATGCAACTTGAGACCACACTCCTTAGGGAAATAAATAAGACATACATGTATAAACATTGTATTGTCTCAATGCGAAAAGCTGAAACAAACAACTTATGTATATGTGTGTGTATATTTATATGTATATAAAAATAGTTAAGATGGTTATACCACTGATTTCTCTGAGTTTACTGAAAAGAAAGATTTGTACTGGTATTGTTGGCCAATTGAATGCAGATGTCTTGTGCTCTGGGTGAATGATTTGGGAATGACAGTGTACAATGTATGTTCCACTATTGGCCCGAGTGATATGTTTTGAAATTTTGTTTTTATTTTTTTTTTCCTTCTTTTTCTTTGGAATAAAATGGATTTGAAAAAAATAAGAATGACGAGGTAGCGAGAAAGATACTGATAATGTGGAAGAAAGAGTAAATAAACTTTGGAAAGTTCTTGTGCATGAACGAGATACAGCCTGGGCCATACAAAGAGACCAGACTTACAGGGAACAGAACCACCGTAAAGTGAAGATGAAGCAGCCAGATGCATTCCTAGGAACTGGATGCCATAGGAGATTTGGAGATAAGCTCTTTTCCTTTATGTAAACAAAAAAAGCTTTAAGAAGTTTTAAATTCCTCCCAGCACAGGAAATGCTTCAGAATGAATTTTATTATTACCTACATGATTCTGAGGGCAGAATATTTGATTTTAGATATAGATTCTTGCTATTGAAAGTGGGACAGTACAATTTGAAAAATTAATGTTTTGTTTTCAGATCTGCCACAATCAGTTTTTTTTTTTTGGTACCTGGGATCGAACACACAACCTCCTACTTGCCAGGCAGGTGCTTATGCTGCTGAGCTAAATCCCTGGCCCTCACAATCAGATTTGTTTTCTTCAATTAAGTGACTGCAGGCAATATACTTGTTGGTAGTGTATTATAGGTGGTATATTCTTAATTAACTACACACTCCATTAAATACGGTAATACAGTGAGTAGCCTAAATTCAAAACTAGTTCGGGAAAAGGAAAAATCCTCCACATAGCTGTGAGTCCCCCAACAGTAAGCTGACAAAATGCTGCCCCTCAGATGCAGGATCTCCTTCCTTCCGGGCTGCTTCTCTATCCCTCTGCACTGGACCTGTAACCACGGCTCCAAGGGCCAGGGGTATAAGGTTGGCTCTCAAACCTGAACTCAGTGGGCCCTAAACTAGATGTACAAAGCAGCCTCTGTCTCTCAGAGAATGGCACAATCACTCACCTGCTTGTCCAAACCAGAAATCGGGCATATTTGGTTTTTCTTTCTCTCCTCTCACATCTAATCTGTCACTAAGTCCTGTCAATCTATCACCGAAATATCTATGAATGCATATTCCTGCCTCCATTTCCACAGCCTCCCTTCCCATATGTGGTCCCTTGCTACTATTACCTCGGAGCTGTCTGTTCTTCTTCCCTTTCTTCTGCTCATTCACCATGCTGCTACCAGAGTGATTCTTCAAGTCTGTATTACAGGTGCCACTTCTGACTTACAACTCTTCAACAGTAATCCATGTCTTTATGACAAGTCCAGATTCTTCCATTTACCCTATAAAGCAATCTATGACTTGGCTCTGCTGACTTCTTGGGCTTATGTCCTATTGTGTCCAGCAGCCACTACTCCCTTCCCATCAGGGCATCTTTCCTCTTTCGTTAGAGGAATGCTGAGCAGTGTTTCACTTCTTCTGGCTCAACCATCTCTCACTCTTCCACTTTTATACAAAATGTCCAGCAGCAATCTGCAATTTCGTTCCACAGCAAACGTCTACGACCTATTCAATGTATGCTTAACTCTGCCTTATCTGAAACCTGGTTCTCCACAGGATGCTGGTGCCCTTATACCTAAAGTCAATTCCTTCTCTCCTGTGTTTCAAGATTTTGTCCTACTCATATTTTTTCTCTTATACTTTTTCCCCCTCCTTCTCAACAACAAAAAACATGCCTATTTCTTATCAAAAACAAACCAATGGGCAGAGGGGGTGCAGCTCCGTGTTAGAACATGTGCTAACATGTGTGGGCCTAGGTTTAATCTCCAGCACCAACAAACAAACAAATATCATCCACCAAAAACCAACCAATCCACCAACAGTCCCTCAGCCTCCTCTCCCCTGCCTTCTGCCCTCCTGCTCCTCTACCCAGGCCCAGTGGTCTGCACTCATTTTCCTGTGTTCTGCCTACTTCTCCAAGTCCTGCAACCTGGTTTCAGATTCCATCTTCTCACTGCCCTGCAGTCACTAAGGGTCATGTACTTCCTGCTGCTGAATCTAATGAGCAGTCTTCAGTCTGTAGCTTATCTATCCTCTGAATTCACTTGGATTTTACACCTTGGTCAGAGGCTCTAGATGCGGCCATAGACCAGGACTGGTCAGTGAGCTCTTAGGAAATGGGCTGCAAAGTAGGAGGTGAACTTCAGGCAAGTGAGAAGCTCTATCGTATTTACAGCTGCTCCCACTGTCTGGTAAGATCATCAGTCTCACTGAAACAGGAACTCCACAAGAACTGTTTCCTTGAGCTCCTTAGGTGAATCTGGTGCCTCACAGGTGAGGTGGAGCTAAGGCAATGCTAGGTTGGAGAATGTAGTATTGAAACATATACTGAAAAACAAAAAACAAAGAAACCACCTACCTCATCCATGGAAAAAAACTGTCAACCTGCTGCTGGGCGGAAATGACTGGGGAAAGCTGAGTTTGCTCACCTCTTCCCTGACAGTCTCCGCTCTGCTGCTATGACAGCACCAATCTTCCTCTGCTCCTGTGCTCACTGCCCTTGGTTTCTGTTCTTACACCGGCCCTTTCCCTCTACCTAACTCCTGACACGCCGGCATCTCCTCTGAGGCCTTCATACCTCTCACTGTAGACTTCTGTCTCATCTTTGTCCTTCTACATTGACCGCATTCCCTTTTCAGGTTCTACTTAACACCAAATGTCAATAATTTATCTCTAATTATTCGAAGAATCTGACGATATTATCTCTTAACAGATACACTATTTAAAAAAAAACTATTAAGTAACATGATGCAAATCTCATACCTTAATTCTCTAACAATATTTTAGTTAAATAAAATGCACATATGAACAATTAACAATGAATGAAAATTACCTCTATCTCCAAGGTCTCTAAAAAAGGTTGATCCACGACCAGCCTTTGGGATTCCTGACAGGACATTCTCGATATCCTTTGAATACACATATTAAAATATTTCAATTTAACTTACAAAAGTTCATTTTCTATCTTACAACAAAAAAAAAACCCACCCCAACATATTGCTTACCTTCTTTGCTAACCTCTTGACTGATGTTTTACCTATAACAGAAAGGAAATATTATTTTTTAACCCATATTTGTTGGTAAAGTCAAGTTGCACTACAAAAGAAAATCATTTACAAGACAACCAAGCAAATATTTAGAAAACATACAGATTTACTATTAAACTAAAACTTAATATGCTAAAACTATGAGCCAAATGATTCTAAGACTAAAAGCACAAAGGTAGTTTTTTTGCAAAAGCTGAGATTTAGTCTCACTCCAGAAAGAATGGCTATCATCAAGAAATCAACCAATAATAAATGTTGGTAATGCTATGGGGAAAAAGGGAACTCATTTCTACTGCTGGTAGGAATGTAAATTGGTATGACCACTTGGAAATCTGTATGGAGAGCCCTGAAAAAACTAAAATTAGAGGTTCCATTTGACCCAGCAATTCCCCTTCTTGATATCTTTTCCAAAGAGGTAAAAGCGTCTCATGCCTATATCTTGTAATCTGAACAACCACTATGAACCAGTATATTAACTAGTGTTAATCTCCTCTTATTTTGTTTTGAAATTCTGTACCACCATTTTTATTCTTTTGTTTTTAAAATTTAAAAAATGGCAAAAAAAGAAGCATCACACAGTAATATAAATCACATCTATGGTTTCAACACCACCATTTGTAATCACTAAATCTTGGAAACAGCCCAGATGCCCATCAACAGATGAATGGATAAAGAAAAAGTAGTATTTATATACAATGATATTTATATACAATCTGCCATAAAGAAGGATAAAGTTGAGCTGTTTGTACATAAATGGATGCATCTTGAGACCATAATGAAATGAGATAAATAAGACATACAAGTTTAAGTATCACAATGTTTCTCTTGTATGAGAAACCAGAAGGATAAACAAGGAGCTAACTGGAAGACAGATATTGGGAAGTAGGAAGAACACGTTCAAGTGGGAAGGGGAATAAGGGAGCGGAAAGGGGAAGGGAGAAGGGAGGGAAAGAAAAAAAGATTTAAAGAAACAATGGGAGGAAAAAAAACTGAGAACAAAGTTTCTGCAAATGGGAAAAGGAAGAAGGGTGAAGGGAAAGAGAAAAGAAGAAATAAGATATATTATGTATTGTTACAAATTTCCTATGATGAATGTGAGAACTATGTATGGCAAATATGTACTAATAAAAAATTAAAACAAAAATTACAATAGATTTCACAAGTGTGTTACCCTGATCCTGATGTTTTGGATAAATTATTACCCTTACCTGATGAGAATTTAGGTCATATTGACACTGAAGGATTTGTTTTCTCATACAGATCTGTCAAAAAACAGGTGCTAAGACTCCTAGTGTTCATGGAAGTATAGTAGTGAAAACCTGCACTACTTTCAACTCTTAACTGATTAAAATACACATGATACGATTATAAAGCAGTTCTGTTGCCTTTAGTTATAATTAAAACTGGTAACACCAGCTATTTCACATGAATTTTAAGATTTGTTGGGCACACAGTAAACTAATTAAAAAATGGAAAATCCAGTTATTATATAATCAGATGGATATGAGTTCCTTGATATATGAACTATGTACATATATCTAAAATTCCCATCAAAATCAGCTGTCACAAGAGCATGTAGTTCAAACTTGTTACTTCTGCAGCACCTCCATTTTATAAATATACTACAGAGTTAATCTGGGAACCAAATGAAATGCTTTGACAGTGAAAGAGGAAAAATTAATGTGCTTTTGACACTAAACAAGTCTTAGGCTAATGCCTTCTTATGGCATGTTCTAAACAGTATAAACTGGTATTGACAAATGACTCTTAAATAGTCCTTTCAGTGTCTCATTAAAACAAGCACAACAAAACAAAAGCCTTATGTATATGAATATTAGAAGAATCCAAAAGAAATCGTGAAATTAGGAAGTAGAATCATTTTAGTAATAAATGCTTTACCTTGTTTTTATTGGTTATATAAAAGTCCCAGGACGGATTAAAATGGATGGAATTGAAAGCATCTCAATTTTAGAATTACTTTGAGCAATATGTTTTGGGTTTGGATTATGAAAATCAAAGTATTTAAAAACTTTTATTCTTGCCTATAACTCATCTCTTCTTTTAGTACATGCTTTTTACGTAATTCAGAGAGGACAAAATAGTCCAGTGACATCAACAGCAAGCAGACTAGCAGCAGAAAAGTGCTTGCGTATGTATTGGGCTGCCGTTCTTTCTGAGTTTCCCGGGGGAGGTGCAGGACATCTGTAAGAGTAAAAGAAGAGCTAACAGGCTTTCGATCTGCTTTCACCAGCAGGAAATGGACATCCACCGTGGGGGAGGGCTGGTGGTAAGTCAGGTGACAAATGCATTTTAAATTATTTGCCGTCTTGGCAGTCTGAAAATTAAGAAAATCTGTATTGAGTCCCACTCTGCGTGTATGCATGTGCATATGTAAGAATGCCCAGTTACTGGAAGGTTAGATGTTTCTCTACAGTGTTCAAGGCTGAGAGCAGATGGCGCTCACGGCCCTGGTACAACGAGGTCCTGATATTCTGCTCATCTGGAGGAAGAGGAAGTGAGGCATTCCTAGTGAGTCACTGGGGAATCTACAGAACTGACTTTTTTGGGCAGACAACTATATTATTAACTTCTGCTAGTAAGACCTCTAAAGAGATAAAAGCCAGTTGGCTCCTCCCCATCAATTTGCTTTCTTATTTGATCTGTATTATGTGAATGTTTTGGTTTACCTACATGGTTAGATCCACAAGTTCTCAAATATAAGAAAAGCATATGAACAATGATGTTTTTATTATTTTAGTGTCATTGTCTATTTCTTTTCTTTTTTTGGTCTTTTTAAGACAATCTCACTATGCAGCTTGAGCTGATCTTGGGCTCACTTTGTAGCCTAGGCCCGTCTTAAACTTGAAACAATCTTCTTGCCTCAGCCTTCACTATGGTGGGATTACAGGGAATGCACCCACACGGGCTTATCTATTTCTGTTCTAAAGCATAATTTAAAAATGAGTATTTTCACTGGGATCAAAGTTGATATTTTCTATAGCTTTTCTGCAATATTTTTATAATCCACTGAATTCATCCTTTTAAACAATATAGCTTAGCAGTTTTTAGCACCAACATCACCACAATCTAACTTCAGGATATTTTTATCACCCCACAATGGGAAAGCCTGTAGAAGCAGTCACTCTTCCTCTTCTCCTTCACTAGTCCAAGGAAATCACTAATCTAGGTTCTGCATCTATGGACTTAACCTATCCTGGTAAAGTCACTCTACTAAGTGGAAAATTGTTGAATACAAGTTCCTGATACAAGCTGGATTGTATTATATAACCGTAGAACTTGCTTCTATAGTTAAAGATATCAGACAAATAGTTGCCACAGTCTGTCAGTAGCCAGGCTGTGCTTGTCTACGGTTATTGCTAACTGTACTTCTGTAACCAGCATGCCATACCTGTTATAATGTATTTTTCTCCCCTGTATGACAACACTGAGATCGCAAGGAGTCATAACCATCACTATAGTCCAGTATCAAAGGAATGAGCCTTGAGTCAAAAAGTAACTCCACATTCTTAATATATTGGCTAAGTAGGTTCTGGGGATAGACAGAAAGACTAAGAACTAACTACGTCTAGAAGACATCCCTGAGGAATAGACATCACCTAGGAAAGCCTTGACACTAGGGAAAAAGCTATCTAACATAAGAAATCTGCAAGCACCAAAACAGAAAACAAAATAAAATAAAAATAGAAAATGACCAGAGGAAGAAGCAAAATGAAACCCCAAATGTCCAGCCCAACCAGGACAGGTCCAGAGTACACGGAGATAGAGGAAAGTTCCAGGAAACTGGAAATTTCTGAAATGATAACAGACAAAGTAAAAACAAAAGTAAGAGATTATTGAAAAAATAATTTCTAATATACAAAAAGAAATGACAAAATGAAAAAAATTAAAACAGACACAAAGAAACAAATAAAGGAGCTTAAGAAAATGATGGAAACCATCAAATGCCCAATACAGACAAGAAATGGAATCAATAAAACAGATCCAAACAGAAACACAGGAGATTAAAAACTCCACTGAAATTATATGCAACAGATTTTTTGAAGGTGAGGATAGAATATTAGACCTAGAAGGCAGGAATGTGATTAGTGACCAGGAAAAGAAAGATATCTTAACAATAATAAGGATCATGAAAAAATCAATCCAACAGCTACAAGATGAAGCAAAGAAAAATGTAAGACTGACTGGAGTCAGTGAAAAAACTAGAGATAGCACTAAAGCTATTAACAATCTCTTTTTAGAAATAATGGCAGAAAATTTTCAAAAGAATTAAAAGTGAGGCATACAGAACTCGAAATAGCCATGAGCAAAATAAATCTACACCAAGGCATATAATAATCAAGATTCCAGAAATTCAGCACAAGAAAAATTTACGAAAAGAAGCTAGAGAAAAGAAACAAATCAACTATACAGGAAAGTCCATCAGAATCATAGCAGACTTCTCAACACACTCAAATCAAGGAGAGCATGGAGTGAGGTATTTCAAGCCCTAAAAGCAAACAGTCTTCAACCCAGATTGATGTACCCCACAAAACTATCTTTCAAATTCAACACAGAAAATGGTATTTCCATGACAACAACTGAAGAAATTCATGACCACCAAACTAGCTATATAGAATGTATACTACTGAAGGATATACTACAAAGAGATAATGAAGACCATAAGCACATGAACATCTTTAGAAAGAAACTGCCAAGTAAGGCAAGCAATCAAACAGAGGAGAAAGACAGGGAACCAACAACAGGAAAATAACATGAAAAAGGTAAGCCAGTATGTATCAGTTATAACCGTCAATGTCAATAACCTCAGCTCACTAATCAAGAGAAACAGAATGACAGAATGGATCAAGAAACAAGAATCAACAATATGCTGCATTTAAGAAACAATTTAACCCAAAAAGAAATTCATAGACCAAAAGTCAAAGGATGAAAAACAATTTTCCACAAGAACCCAGAAAAAAGCAGGGGTAGA